GTTGAGGGAGTACTTGAGTGGAGGCCCAATGTCCTTCTGCTACCTTAATACTAAACCTATAAATAGATCTATTTCCCCATCCTCATATAAATATATTTGCATATGTACATGTCTTTATCTAGACCTCTATAAATACCCTTTTATTGTTATGATTTTTATGTTAGTCTCTGGATAAAATTGAAATTAAAAGCCAGTAGGACTATAAGAATCGCATTTGGTAGTATTTATGCCATGGAATAGAGATTATAGATCTGGAAACATACATTTATTGTCTGAATTTGTATATTCAGAAAATGAATAAGCCCAGTGAAGGAAAATGTCAAGATTTAACAGTAAAGTAGATCTGCAGCAAGCAATTGTTTTAAAATTGAAATTTTATTACAGAAGTTATTTCAGTAGGACTCTACTGGTGCATCCAAAATATGAAATGATTCGCTATTTGGGGAAGCACCTATCATCTAAATTATAAAATAGAGATAAGAGATTACCTGAATGCATGTTTGCCAAGAGAAGCTGTGGCAAAATTCTCCTTTTGCACATCTAGAAAGTTTTGATCCAACAACTCACCTGGTGAAAGGAAATATATGCCTAGAACCCTGCAGGATCACTTGCAAGAAATATGATGTAATTTGTGATCAGGTAGGTCTAAAATATCAGTACTGCTGGCTTATTAATTAATGGGTATGGTTTTTTCCACTCAAAACTGCAAAACAGAGTTTTTATCTGTTTTTTTGTTTGCTTTGTTTTCCAAGTTCATCTTTGTTTGCAGGAAGCACAAGATTTTAAGAACCATATATGAGTTTGAAAGTAGGCTCTGTTTTTTATTCATTGTGGGACTATAACCAAAATGTTTACTTTTCTAAACTTCAGTTCCCTAGTTAAGTCTCACTTATTTTGTTTTTAATCTTTAAAGTGATGAAGATAGGTTATAATATCATAACGATTAAGTGTGGCATGTGTGTGAGAGGGTGCATGTGTGTATGTATAGAATGGTAGCCAGCATATTCTAGGTGTCCAATAAATTATATTGAATAAATGAGCAAAGAGATAAAAAATGTGGTATGTTTGTGTGTTTATATACATGTCTAGGTCACAGTGTACTTGAGGGTCTGCTGCCTGCATAATAGGACTGATTAACAAACGGTGTCTCTCATCCTTAAAAAAAAATTATTAGTCTTGGGAATGATGCCCAGGTTGGACCAGAGTATGTCAAGATCTCAGTGCTGTGACTTTTCCTTGCCTGTGATGTTCACAAGCAGAGCCAAAGGGAAGAGAAATGCCTGCTGTGGTCCCATCTTGCCATGGTTGTTTACTCCTCTGTCACAGATATAAAGAAAGAACTCGAGTAGCACTGTGGTCTTTTCCTTGTCCACTGCCATGGTGACCTCACACCCATAAGTCTGCATCCAACTATCTGGGCTACATTCGATTTTCACCTTCTCAGTCTGAGTCCAGAGATGGTGGCATGTGAAGCATTTGCTCAGAGACCACAGAGAGGCTGACAGTATCTAACCTGCTGTGCACAGAAGGCAAAATGTTAAAGGCTGCCTGTGTGGGGTAACCATGTGAACCCACCCAGAGCATCTCCTTTTGGAAAAAGAAGCTCCATCCCTGCAGAATTTCTCCAAGCTGTACTTCAACATGAGCATCTGCTCTGAGAGGCTCATAAAAGCTGTTAGGGATCGCATAGCATTCTGATCAGCATTCTCATAAATGGTTGATTCCGCATCATTTTGTACTGAATTCATTACAGATTGTACTTTCATCTTCTACTCTCAGACTGTCATGGTCTCAGAGCTGGGAGATGAGAATTATTATTCAAAAACATTCCCATTACCTGAGTAGGTATGTACAGCTAAGGTA